TTAAAGAACAATTCAAGAACTTTCCATAAATAATAACTATGAACATCTCAGTTTAGTATTAATTAATACGCCAAACTATATTTGTATATGATTGCCTTATATATCTTGGTAAAGGTATTTTTTTATTATATTATTGCTTAATTGTATACATATATAACACCATTTCATAGTTGTGTATTTTTATTACTTGTGTTGCATTTAGCAGCATTATAATTTTGTGTTTAATATATTGTTAATGTTTTGTGCATGTATTTTATTTATCGGCTCCTAACAAGTTCCCTGATAAAATACCAGCTCTAAATATTTGCTTAGTATATTATCTTACTACTATACCTTTGACCAGTAGAAAGATCAGGCTGATTAAGTTTCATAGGTAAGTAAGTGTAATACCTAATATATTTATTATTTGTTTATATATTGTGTTGACCAAATTTATTTGATAATTAACTGTTGGTATCTTTCCTTGGGTTTGATCTCTGATCTCTGAAGAATATCTTTCCTTATCTCTTTTCTTTTCTAAGGTTTCTTAATTTTCTCCTTAACCCCAAAAAATTGAGTGGCGTCCTGTTTCTATCTTCTCTTATCTTGTGTAATTTTAGCCATCTATATTTTTGTTTATTTCTATATCTTTTCTAATATCTCTTATCCTAATATTGTTCTGAAGCTATTTTCTTGTGGCACTGTAAATTAATTACTATTTATAACTGGGAATAAGCCACAATTAAAGATAAAAATACGTTTATTGACGTTTCAATTTGGAATTGGAAATTGAAACGTCAATAAACGTATTTTTATCTTTAATTGTGGCTTATTCCCAGTTATAAATAGTAATTAATCTCTTATCCTATCTTTACTTATTTCCTCCGTTGGACCCAATCCCGGTTCCAAAAGCTAGTTTCGAACCCACGACTCGCTCTCCACCAACCATCTGTCTGCCGTCTGCAGTGTCTCAATTGGTTATCTTTCTAGCACCATCCAAAAAAGATTTCCGAGGTTACAATCTTCTACTACCATCCTTAAGCTGCATACATACCAACGAGCTATATGCTATCTACCAACCTCTTACTCATATTAACTCCGGTTATATATTAAAAGCTCTTATATTTACCGATTTTCTCAGTTTCATCAATACCAGTAACCAGCTTCACAACACATCCAAAAGAACTGGCTACCATACAAAACAGCAATCATAGTGTACAATTTTTATGGGTTCCTTAACATATTGGATTTCAAGGGAACGAAGAAGTGGACCACATGGCCCAACAAGCAAGAAATAGTGAAATCACTAGTGAAGTGAGAAATATGGTGCTAAACTTATTTGTTAAAGTAAAGGTCGAATATGTCTGGCAAAACCAGTGGGGCAGTTCATCTTCAAAACTTCGCGAAGTGAAACATATGTAAAACCATGAAAATTTCAAATTTTCAACAAATATGTACACTATTCAGTTTGTTGGACACTAAAGTGTCCAAGATACCAGTTGCAGAGACAGGCCAACCATATCATCGGATCAACAAGTGAAACCTTAGGAGAAAAATGTGAAATTGAACAATTGGTAAAATTCCTTAAAGACATAAATATAATTCACAAGGAATCTACGTTCCTGTAGTTGGCTGTATACCATGTATTAAAAATTTAATTAAAAATCCTTTGTAATAGGTATATATTTAGGCCAAACGGCTAAGTTAAAAGACAAAACGTTTTCGGAAACCATGTTCCATCATCAGTGTCCTAGAAAATAGTTAACCACTTAATTAAAAAGAACATAGGTTAAAATTTTGACTAAGGTTAATGAAAAATGTGGTTAATACTTACTAGGAGTACATGAATGTAGCCACCAAGATTAAATATATGGGTAAAAACCCGTTAACAGATGTTTAATTACATTTAGTTTTAAAATTATGTTATAATGATTTAAGATTATAGAGTTACCGATGGATTAGGTAACATGGCGACATATGACTCCACGTTGAAGTTGCTAGTCCTGAGACGGTATGTCTTCGAGGACTGTATGAGTGCAACTGATTGGCAATGACATTTGATGACAATATTGTTAAGTTATGACGGAAATTATCACAGAGCAGTCAATGTAGCTGTATGTTTCTACTTAAGACAAAAGCCAACGTTATTTAAAATTGTGAAAATTAAGTAAACTAATATAACAGTATCAACCATCAATGTTGTAGTTTTAAATTTATGTAAATAAGATGATATAAGGGAGCAAAAATTGTATGGTTGTAGTTAGGCAACCAACTATACATGTATGTAGCAATGTAATATAGAAAAATTTTTATTATATGGCCCTTTATGTTTCTTAAACATTTGGTACCCAGAAAATATAAACTAGACACATGTGGAAGGTTGAATTTTAGAAAATTTTTGATGTTAATGGTTGGATCTAAATGTATTTATTTATAATTGGAAGTGTTCTTGTATGAATAAAATAAAACTGTTTTAGTAAATGTTCACGTGTTATTTAACTTTTAACTCAAATATAGAGGCCCTGTATGTCAGAAGCAACATTTGGTACCTGGCAAATGTGAAAATTTTTGAGTTATAAGTTCATGAACCTAAATGTCTGACAAGGTGTTAACAGACTAAAAGGTGTGGAAGTTTTATTGTATTAGCTATTATATGTAATGAACGAAAGATTTTTTGATGGTTGGGACATGATTATGTAGTATGTTGATAGTGTGATAATCTACTTATAACTTAAGAAAGGTCCTATCTGTCATAAGGCAACACTAGGCACAAAAGAAATAAAAGGATAAGTTATAAGTTAGGTTTGTTGTAGGTATAAGTTGTCTTAAATTGTGATGATGGTATGGTTGGCTTTGTTGATATTAAGTGAAACGAAAAAGTTTTTGTAGTGTCATCTTTGCAGATGAATAAGTTATGTAATTTGATATTATTCATAATGGATATGAGGATCTTAAGGTGTTCGTTCAACTATTGTGTGAAATAAACAAAATTTGATGGTTGGGATATGGTTATGTATTATGTTTATCATATAGAACTCAAATTATAACTTAAAAAAGCCCTATCTGTCATAAGACAACACTAGGTACATGAAAAAATTGATGAATAAGTTATAAGTTGAATGTGTCTGCGTTGTGTACTGGACTTAACTTGAAATTGAAAGATTAATAGATGGCTATGTTCAAATTGAGTAAGAAAGAAATTTATGGTTGTTTTGAATGAATGGTGGGATACTGAACCACTACAGAAAGCTGAGATCACCAGAGGTCCGCTACCAAACCCTAAGGGAATTGTGTGAAAATGTAAAAAGAGGACTGAAATGTTTGTTAGAAAGGGTTGCTGAATAGTTTAGGATTTTTGGGGGGCTAACAAGAAGCATGGACAGTAATAGATATAGAGGGTTAGACTTGAAGTTTGGTTTAATGAAGAGAAGAGGGGAGAGATGGAGAGTATGTTATGTTGAAGTAAAAGTTTTGGAATGGACTGAAGTTTGATGATAAATGTGGATTTTAGTTGAGAGATAAATTAGGGGTGAAAATTATGAGAATAGTTGGCGATGAAGAGGGAGGAAGTCTCGATTGAAGGATACATGACGATTGACACAATTTGGGCTTTTTTGTTTTTCTTTTAAAATTTCAAGATCTTCATATAAATCTAATTTAAGGAAGTTTTTTTGGGGGATGTTGTGGATAAGTGAAACGTCTTCTGGGATATTGAGGGTATGGTTGTGTTCTTTGAGATGTTGGGAGAAGGTGGAAGTATTTTCTCTTTTTATGTGTTCTAGAGAACGTGAGGATAATGATCTGCATGTCCTACCTATGTAGGAAGCATTGCAATCTGAACATTTTAATCTATATACTCCACTCCGATCCATATAATTGATGGGATCTTTGGAATTAGAAATGTGTTGACCCAAATTGTAGGGTACTGTAAATGAAACATGGATATTTTCAACCGAACGTTGGATGAGATTTCGAATATCTCCAGAAAGACTTTCGTGATAATATGGGAGTGAAACATAATTGGGCTTGGTAACGAGGTCTCTGGGAAAGCAGTCTCCTGCAGGGTCTTAAGGCGTTTTTTGCGGATGAGTTTATTGATAATGTTATGGTCATATCCATTGTTGACTGCTATGTGCTTAAGTATATTTAGTTCTTTTTTGTAATTTAAGTCTGAGAGTGGAATGGTTACTAGGCGATGGATGTAACTATGAAAAGCTGCGTATTTATGCGACATGGGGTGGTTGGATGAGAATGGAATTATGTGATCAGTCTGTGTAGGTTTCCTATAGATACTGAAGTCGAAGTGGTCATTTAATCTGGTAATAGTGAGATCTAGAAAATTAATAGACATGGAAGATTCTAGTTCCATGGTGAACTTGATGTTGGGGTGAATTTGGTTGATTTTGGAAAGTAAAAGATCAGCTGAATTGGAATTACCTGAAATGAAGACTAAACAGTCGTCAACATAGCGAAACCAGTGGAGTATTTCAGGGTTTTTCATGATATGTGTGGATTCTTAGTGATCCATAAATATATCAGCTAATAGAGGAGAGAGACAGCTGCCCATGGCTAAGCCATCAGGTTGTCTGTAGTATTTGTTGTTAAAAACAAAGAAATCTTGATCTAAACAAAGCTGTAATAGTAATAGTAATAAATAAATATACTTAACAAAATTTAATATTTATAAGTAAATTATCTGTATATATGTCGCTAATAACCTCAGATAGTACAAAGGAGAAGTGCTGTAAAGGTAATTCACTGCAAAATACTAATCTAATTTTAAACTAGTACAAAGAGTAAAGCTTAAACGATTTACCATATGAGAATAATTAATGTATTGAATATATTGATCAACATACAACTGTATTAGTTTTTTATTTACTAGTACTATAACCCATAAAGGTTTCGAACAGTTTTAATTTTATACAATCTGGACACTTTTTAATTTTATTTTAAATTATTGAATAGAAAATAAATATACATTACCACGTATTCAGTATATAAATAACGCAAAAACTTACCAAATCTCTTATCGCTTCTGCTTCGATCCTTCCGGTATTATCGGTCGATCCTTCCTTGATGAGTTGTCCCCCAACAGACCATTCGATTCTGGGTTTGGGATTTGCTTCTATCGAGATATTAATGAGACCTACTTTTCCAATTTGATAACCGAATTTGTCGATTGGTTCTTCGATTGGTAGGGGTGGAACTGCAATCAATTAAACGTATAATAAAGAACTGCGCAATGATATATCGTTAATATTTAAACAATAGCAGCACAAAATAATGATATAATTATAAGTCTTACGACCGACGGTTGATTTAAATAATGAAGCAACAGTTATCTTCAAATGTTTAACACTGGATCTGGGTTTTATTTAAGTTTGTAATTTTGTATTCGTCTTTGTGGATGTAACGGTACCATTTTAAACCAACAAAACAAATAAAAAAATATCTTTTTATGGAATTTAATAAAAAAACGTGTACTACACAGATATAAATTCAGGTGGAAGTGACGAAATATTTAGTTTTTAAAGATGATATTGGAACGGTGGCCTTCATTTTGTCGGACACATTCTTGCAGCTATGATATAAAGGTTTTTACGGCATTGAGTAACATTTTTGAGGTATTTTTAACACCTCTTCGCGTATCCGTTTTTTTACAAAGCCTCGAGGGTTCTTGGAGAGTTACTGGTAGAAATAAACAGAAGATTTGTTCCACAAATTAGGATGGCGATATTGCTATCATTTAGAGCATACTAAGTAATGTAATTAATTCCAATTCGAAGGACCACTCACTACCGTGGAAATAAGAACACAAGCATTAAACAATATGTAATTTAATAATTAACTTTGATACTACAACTAAGTTAAGATTTAGCCAAAGTTTTGGCGCAAAATTTTTACATCTAAACCACCTATCACTGTCCAATTTATACGGCGCAAAACTACTCACTAGGCGCCATTTTCAAAGAGCTCTAACTCCGTTAGAAAGTATTTTCAGACTATGTAAATTGGGTTAAATTGTAATAAAATTATTTGAGGAATCTTCTGTCTTCGTTTGTTATGAGAGCTTCTGGACACCCTGTATAATAAAAACTAGGTATACTTAATACGAGAGAGTCTTACACTCTTAAACCAGAATTGCGTCGAATTTAATCAAATACTACACTAAAACTGACTAATATACGAGAGTTGAAAACTCTAACCAAGACGCGACCAACTAAGCTGGGATACAATTAGATTACAATGACATCGTAACTACTTTCAAATTATCGCTGCCTCACCTATAAGTGGTCAGGGGAAATTTCTTTAAACTTTCTATTAAGTGGCTAAAACCCCCTTTGACTGATTGTTAAGCGGAGATTTTCTAGGTACAAGTTTTCAGTGGTTAAAAATAACTTTTGAATGCTTTATACCCGCGATTTCTTTGGAATTTGCTAGAAGAATGTTACGTCGGTAGATTTTAGAAAATTAGAAATTGTTTGTTACCAGTGGCGTAACAACACTTAAATAAATTTTAGCTTGAAATATCCTAAACTTACTTCTTAAGCACAACTACAGCGCTACAGAAGATTATCGGCTTCAGACAATGGAATGGAATTACCTCGACTGGAAATAAATCGTTTAAACGTTGCTAAAGAAGCGTTAGAAGATAAGTCACTAATCAACTCTAAATACACTCAATTCTAAACTCTTTTACAGTGGAAAAAGCGCGCGAGATTCTAACTCTATCCAATGGGAGTTCAGACATAAGTTATAATGCGGTTTGTGCATTGAATCTATAATATATAATGCATTTTTTGATAATGCAGTTAACATACTTGATCTCACATAAAAGGCCAGTATCGTAGGCACAAATTGCCTACGTAGTGGTCATCAAAACACATTTTGAGGACCACTATGTCCTAGTCTCCTGGCTGAAGGCCTAAGAAGACGCATCTCCTGGATGAGGAACCTTAGAGAATGGTTTAACTGTAGGACCATAGGCGTTATGATATCCAACCTCCTATAGGAGATGGAACTTAAAGAAGAAGATGTCCTAGTCTGCAATGTCCTTTTTTAATGAGCAAAGAAACAATAGGATCATTTGCTGACAACAATATAGGAATTTTAATATTAAAGTTCATATCTGAATTTTGCAAGTGTCCTACAACACGTACAATTCCAGAGGAGTCTAAAAAAGGATAAAGAGGGAGGATTTTTTTTAATTACTATTTATAACTGGGAATAAGCCACAATTAAAGATAAAAAATACGTTTATTGACGTTTCAATTTCCAATTCGGAAATCGTTCTCAAAATACAAACAGTAAATTGAAGATTTAAATACAATGCCACAAGAAAATAGCTTCAGAACAATATTAAGAATTTTTTTTTGTTCTTTTCTGATAAGCGTCGTTTGCAAAATATTGTTGCTGAATAATTTTAATGATAAATTATGAGCGTTTAAAATTTCTTTACGTACCTTTAATTTTTTCATTAGTATGTTTCATATTATACACAAGCCTAAATACTGAAGCTACTGCGTTTTGTAAATTTGAAAATTTAGAAAATCTGTCAAATATAGTTATCCAATTATTTGGTAAATGATTAACAACTAATAGAGCTATTTTCTTTACTTCAGGTAAATTCTCAATTTAGTCAATCAATTTAATCAAAATATATTTTGGGATTTAGCAAAAACTCAGGTCCCTGAAACCAAAACGAAAATGTTTTTTGATTAAATACACCGCGAGGCAAGAGATCCGCAGTATTTAACTGTGATTTAATATGCCTCCACTTTAGATTTTTACTAAGACTCTAAATATTGGCCACTCTATTCGAAACAAAAGTATTATAATTATTAGCGGAATGTTTAATCCAGCTAAGAGCAATTTGTGAATCTGACCATGTGTTTATAGAATCATTCTTTACATGGTCTTTAAAGTTCGTTATAATTTTTCAATCAATTTGACTAAGAGTTCCATAGCTATTAATTCTAGTTTAGGAATGGTGAGCTTGCTTTCCAAAGGTGCGAAATGCGATTTATAATTAGCCTCTTTCAATAAATTTTGAACAAATAAAACTTAAGCTAAGCAGTTTTTACGATTGCATTTATAATTTACTAAATGAAAATTAAAGATAAAGTTTATCGGATGAACAACAATGATTCAGATCCGGAAGATCCTGAGTAGATGCCGTAATTGTACTAAGACAAATCACAGAAAAGGCTATAGAGTACAATAAACCAGCATACGTATATTTTATAGACCTGCTTAATATTTTCCATCAGTAATCGAATACAGGCAAAGATAAATAGAAAACCAATAAAGTGTATATCAGTACACACAATAAACAACAAGGATTCAGATCCGGAAGATCCTGCGTAGACGCCGTATTTGTACTAAGACAAATCACAGAAAAGGCCATCGAGTACAATAAACCAGCATATCTATGTTTTATAGACCTGGCTAAGGCTTTTGATTGCATTAAAGTCGAAGACGTCTTACACCTGCTGTATAAAAGAAATATATCAATCAATATTATACAAACCATTAAAAATATCTACTTCCATAATGGAATACAGGTAAAAATAAATAAAAAACTAACACAGTTCTTCCTGAAGCCCACTTCTCTTTAATATAAAAATGAACGAAATAATACAAGCCATACGTAAAGGTCATGGTTACAGAATGGGAACAAAGAAATCCAAATATTATATTATGCAGAAGACGCCGCATTAATCGCCGAGACAGAAGACGAGCTCCAAAGATTAACACACATCTTCAATACAACAGCCAAGAAATATAATATTACACTATCAGCAGAAAAAACCAAATGTATGACATCTAAATGGGGTTCAAATGGGGTAGTGATGCGTAAAATATGACGCTGCATCCTGTTAGCGTCACTAGCCTCTCCTACTCAATTCCAACTCTCACCTCCACGCGGTGAACCCTGGTAACCTAAGCAACTCTGTGGAAGATTGTGGTAACCAACCCCAGTGGGAAGCAGAGTCAGGGCAAACGAGAGTGGGAGAAATGGTCCTTCGAAGATTAGGGGGTTGGGCAAAAGGTTAACGACCTCTTCCCTTAAAAAAACTCATTGTTATGAAAGCACAAAGTGGAAAAGCCGGACTGTTTAATTCACGACTACCTAGCAAACGACAATGGAATAACGAATTTACGAATATGCACATGGAATGTACGAACCCTTTATACCCCAGGTGCTCTTAGACTGCTAACACAAGAACTTGATAAAATGAAAGCCGATGTAGTAGCGATTCAAGAGATGAGATGGACTGGTTCAGGAATCATCGAGAAAAGAGACTACAATATATACTATAGCGGACATAGCAGCTGACACGAGTTTGGCAGTGGTTTTCGAGTCAGTAAAAAAGCAAAGCAATTAGTCCTTAACTTTAAACCCATAAACAACAGAATATGTTATCTACGTCTTAAATGAAAATTCTTTAATTATAGCTTACTTAGTGTACACACACCTACGGAAGAAAAGGAGGATAATGAAAAAGATGAATTCTATGACACCTTAGACAAAGAATATGATCGATGTCCACGTCATGACGTGAAAATCATTGCTGGAGACCTTAATGCAAAAATTGGCAAAGAGCAATTTTTCCAGCCAACTATAGGACGTGAGAGCTTACATGAAGAGTCAAATGATAACGAGATGAGACTAATAAACTTTGCAAGTACTAAAAACATGATAGTAGGAGGAACAACATCCCCATAAAATGGGGATACACAAAAGAACATGGAAATCCCCTGATAACGAAACCATTAACCAGATAGATCACATCCTGATAGATGCAAGGCACTCTTCCGATCTCATAGACGTCAGAAGCTACCGAGGCCCAAACATTGACAGTGACCACTTTCTTGTAATGGCAAAAATCAGAGGAAGAATATCAAACCTAAAGAAAGATAAACACACGAAACAAGACAGAATTAATGTTAATAATCTGCGAATTGAAACCGTTGCGAGAGAGTACAGAAGACAAATGGACGAAGAAATGGAGAGCCTGGAGGCGGGGTAAAATGTAGAGGAACTGTGGACAAAATGTAACAACATAACTGAGAAACCAACAGAAATATTGGGGAAAACCAAACCAATTAAAGAAAACGAATGGTTTGACAAGGAGTGCCAAGAAGCAACAAATAACAAAAACAGGGCATACCTAAAGACAAATCAAGCTGGATGCACAAGAA